GGTGCTTATTATGTTATTATTCTCTTTAATTTGTCTGGTTTTTTAATCCATAGTCTCTTATATTTATACAATAGTTAATAAAAACAACACACACACACACACACACACACAAATACAGCCTTTGGTAACTGGATCTTTCAGCTGGACCACTGTAGGCTAGCACCAGCTCTGCCAGCAGGCTGTTCCCTAACACCACAATTGTGTGTCTGTATGACTCATCCTGATCCCAAGCACCACAGAGTCCCAGCGTCTGGGGCCTATACTTGGGGCAGGGCCGACATACCTCTTCTCCTCCCCACTGGCCAGGACAGGAAAACAAAAAGGTGAATGTGTGAGCAGGCATGTTAGCACTGGCAACTAATGTTTAAACTGAATTCTTAGCCACATTACAAGTCTGAGTACCTTCACCCTAGACTCACAGACTTCTCAGTCTCCACTCATGGGTCCAAAGGACTAGGCTGGAGATGCTCTTGGCTGAATGTAATGACTCACAGCTGTCATGACCCAAACAGATACCCTGAGCATGAATATTCTCTGCCACAGTTGCTGGCCACTGGGGGCAGGGGGCTGTGGGGGGGCGGGGGTGGTGGCAGAGGGCAGCCCACATTCTGTGCAGAGTCTTCAGTCAAGCTGAACTGTAAACTATTCGCCCAGACAGCCAGCAACAGCATCTATTAGATCATCTAGGTTTCTGGGAACCCCATCCTTAATTTCTCTGCATCAACCCCGGAGGGCATAAAATAGCTTATTTCAAGCTTTGAAAAGTATGTTCATTCCAATGACCCTGAATGACTCTACCAATCCTGAAGCTTTGATCACGGAATTATGTAGGAAACCCCCCCTGCATGATTCTTACTAATGGTAACTGCAGTGCTATTTATATACATTATTTCTCAAACTTAAAACACCCCTGGAAGATATTCTCCCCATTTTACAGATTAAAAACCGAGTGACTCAGAAAGGTTAGAGGAATTTCCTAAAAAGAGAGAGCTGGTAATGGGAAAGCCAGGATCCAGATTCAAGTCTTTCTGGCTCCAGACTGTGTTCAGCAATATGGGATGAAATATTTTTTTTTAATTTTTTTTGAATGTTTATTTTTGAGAGAGAGAGAGAGAGAGCAAGCATGAGCAGGGGAGGGGCAGAGAGAGAGGGAGACACAGAATCCAAACCACGCTCCAGGCTCTGAGCTGTCAGCACAGAGCCCGATGTGGGGCTCGAACTCACGAGCCTTGAGAACATGACCTGAACCAAAGTTGGACGGATGCTCAACCAACTGAGCCACAAAGGCACCCCGGGATGAAAGATTATTAAGGGCAAGAGACAGCTAAGAAAAAAAATGACTCTACTTCTGAGGAAAGAGGATCAATGTCCCCAAGACCCACACTGTCACAAACTGGGGCACGTCCACATGTTTGGTGGCCTCATGATTTGTCACTGGCCACTCTGCTGGGGGGCGGGGGCACCAGACTGACTCTGAGCCTGCTGGACTGGGTGATTCTTATCTGTGCAATGAGGATGTCATAGGCAGAAAACGCCACTTACTCCTCCCAATCAGGCAGGACTGGTCACTGCCCCACAGGCCACCACCTGCAAGAGCAGTGTGCCTTGCCCGTCCACTCTGCTGTTTACCTTAGCTCAGAGGCCCAGTCTTACAGGTAGGTTTCCTTCTGGCAGCTGGTCAGTTTCACTTCCTGGTTGACACCCAGGCATCCCCAAACAATAACAAAGATTTCCTTCCTCTGAAGCCTGTCCTCCCCAAGTTCACTCTTGATACCTGGCTGTGCACTCACTGCAGGCAAGGAAAATCCATAGCTCCCTTCCCATTTTAGATTAGAGAATCGAGTATTGCGCACTGACACTGCCTGTTTATTACAGGGCTTAAAAACTCATCCAAAAACATGTGCTGAGTTGTGTGGGTCAGGTCTGATCCTGGGTGCTGGGACACAGAGGTGAGTGAATCATAAGTCTGCCCCCAGGGAGCCCACAAACACTGAAGAGAACCCATGCAGAGGGCTAAAAGCCCAACTGAGGAAAATACTGGCAGCCTCGGAAGCATAACTAGCCCACTGTATGCCATCTTCTGAGGGGGGACATGGTTAGAGCTGCAGGGGTCTTCAGAGCAGACAGATGTCCAGTGTTCTATAAACATTTAGGTGCAATGCTGGGAAATGGTTCAAAGACCAAGGTCTAGTGTTCCACTGTCCAATGCAGTAGCTACCAGCCATGTGTGACTTTTTAAATGTAACTACATTTCAGTTAAAAATTCAGTTTCTCTACAAGCTCCTGGCTGGCTCAGTCATTAGAGCTTGAAACTCTTGATCTCAGAGCTGTGAGTTTGAGCTCTACACACTGAGATTATTTAAAAAATAATAATAAAATAAAATCTTCAGGGGCACCTGGGTAGCTCAGTTCGTTAAGCGTCTGACTTTGGCTCAGGTCATGATCTCATGGTTCGTGAGTTTGAGCCCCACGTCAGGCTCTGTGCTGATACCTCAGAGCCTGGAGCATTCTTCAGATTCTGTGTCTCCCTCTCTCTCTGCTCCTCCCTTGCTCACACTTGCTCTCTCTCTCCCTCTCTCTCAAAAATGAACATTAATTTTTTTTAAATAAATTCTTCAAAAAAAATTCAGTTTCTTAGTCATACTAGTGGCTATCCTATTGTACTGTGCAGATATAGAACATTTCCATCACCACAGAAAATCCTACTGGATAGCACTAGCTACAGGCTCACAGCAAGCCCTTCCACTTACCTGTCATATAATCTTGAACAAGTGGCTCTACCTTTCTGTACCTCAGTTTTTTAATCTGCAAAATGGTGTTATTTTTCCCTCCAAGACTGGTGTGAAGATAAAATGACCTAATGCATGTAACACTCCTAAAACCACAGTGGCCAGGTAGGTACTAAGTGACCAAAATATGGTAGTTATTTTTATTACCATAACTAGTCTGTAGTACCCAGCAGGCGGACACTGCCTCGTGTCATTCCCTCTCTCCCGGTGCTGCCAGCACACCAGATGCCAGGCAAATGCCTATCAATCTCTTTTTCCGTGTCTGTCTTATCCAGGGACCAGGCTGACACAAATCTGCCACCACAGGGTTAGAGGTGGGAGTACTCACATCTGTAGAGATGGTTCCACACAGGGAAGAAGGCCATGTAGAGGGCCACGTCCCCCACTGTTGGGTAGGACTTGAAGATGGAGATGATGGCAATCTGAATGAACATGAAGAAGACAGGGTGCTCCCTGGGGTGGGGTGGGGCAGGCAGAGAGGGAGAGATCAGTCAGGGACCAGGCACACCCAAGACTCCTGACCCCATCCCTCAAACCCCAAAATACTCTCAAGTGGACTTCAGGTAGGGGCTGGCTCTGCTACCCAGAAGACATGGGACCAGACCAAGCAGCAAAGCAGAAAATTGCAAGGACACAGAGTTGCCCAGAGGTGGTGAGGAGGGCCCAGCAAACACTAGAGCAACAGCCCATTGCCCCCCACACCCGAGTTCTGAGCCTGCCCGGCAAGAGTCACTGAGGAAGAAAACAAATGAAGTCAGCTTCATTACTGGGCTTTCATAGCTGCTGTCAGAGTAATCAGGCAGCCTCCCTTGCCAGAGGCCCCTCTGACACCCAGACCCCAGGGCAGGAAGTGCCTCCTTGCTGATGCTCTTTTTCTCTGACAGTAAGGCCAGTGGAGTCTACACACACTTAGCTATGATGAGCTCCTTTCCAGAAAGAGAAGTGAGAGCTGCAGGCAGCTTTTCAGCGCTTTTGGGCTGGAACTGGAGTTTTGTTACCTTAAACAACAATAACAGCTAGCATTTCCTAAACCCTCATGCTGTGACAAGTTCCGTCCTAGGCCCTCTCCTTGTGCTGTCACATGGGATCCTCACTATACCTCCCCTACTCCTTGAGGTAGGCAATATCATCACCCATACTTTGCAGATGAGGAAAGAGGTTCAGATAAGGTAGGTGAGTTAGTAAGCGGTGGAACTGTTTATCTCCAGAACTCCTGAGCAGCACCAAGACTGTTCTCCTGAGTGCCTAGCGTGATCACAGCTCTGGTCAGGAAGGGTGGGGACAGAGCTCAATCTCCAGTGGTCCTCCAAGGGCTGACCAAGTGCTACAAGGAAGCCAACAGAGAGGCCAGATCTACACCCTCCCCAGCTGTACCTAAACAACATGCATGTGGCCTACTTCTGCACACTACCTGGATGCCCAGCTCATAAAGGCTTTCTTCAGAGATTAATGGCAGTTATGTCTTGCAGGTCAAAGGTCAGGGTGACTCAATGGGTGTAAGTCTGAGATGTGGAGACAAACATGTACACGCCCCAAACACTCCAGCAGTTTTACACAACAAATGCTTCAGACTCAGCCTGGCAAGTTTCAGTGCTATAGGCTCTCGAAGGGTCCAGCTAGCCCAGTGAGCATCTTCCTAAAAACAATCCAAATCACTGGCTGTGGGCATTTTAGGTAGCTGGTAAGAGCTGCATGAAGAGCTTAATGGCCTACGAAAAGGCCAGTGAAAATCCAGTGACAAGAAACATGGAGACTAGAATCCCCTGCAATACTGTCTGGGGAGAGTTGGTCAGAAGGGCCCTATTCCCACAAAGCTAGCACTGGAAGCAAACACTGCAGGGGCTGGAGAGTCAGTGGAGCTTCAGATCCAGCCACAGGAAGGCAGCAGTGGAGAAAGTCACTTCATATAGTCTGTCCCCACAACCCTGAGGCCCTGGCCTGGGGT